GCCGCCGCGCTTCCCAAGCGGCGCACTATCCAGTGCGCCACCGGGCCGGCCCAACTTGCATTCTTTTATATGTCCATCAGCCTTTTGAATGTCATCTCCTTTAAAATGCCAATTCATATCCTTAGCCTGTTTTCTTAAATTACATCTTCTTATTAATTTGTATAAACTCTTTATATATGGTGGATTTTTAAGTTAATAAATTGCTCTCTGTAATATCAAAAATGACCTTAATAATACTATCCAATGGTTAGTTCTTAGGTGTTCAAATATTACCTACTTCATGAGATCAGACACACATGAAAATACTTTGAAAATTCAACCACAACACCAGTATTAGGTACTACTTGCATTACTTGAGTGATTACTCTGTAGTATCTGATAATGTTGAGTACCCTTATATTCTGAAAACTTTCTATATCCTTGCCTTCTACCCTTCTACTTCTCTGGCCACTTACTCCCTATATCTTTCAATGGTCACTCTTCTCCCCACAGTCTAAATGAGGGCACATTCCAAGGGTGCAAGTATTCCCGTGGCTTCCCAAATCTGTGTCTCCAGCCTTGACTACTCTCCTGAGCAAGAAACTATATTTCTGTCTGTCTCCTGGTATTTCTTTTTGACTGTCCTACCATCATCAAAAATTCAGTATGTAAAAATGAACATTTCTATCCCAGTTTTTTTAAACATCCATATTCTTAAAGTAAACTATTAAATCCTTTTTAGGGTGATATGGAGTATTAGTTTATTTTTAATTTCAAGTTTAAGAAATATAACGGCAAAGACTCCTGGAATAATAATTGTACATGCTAACAAAGCTAATGTGCAGTTGGAGTGGAAAGAGCAATCAAAGACACATCAGCTTTCCAATCACAGTAAAAACATGGATTCATGTAAAAAACCAAAGCAGGGTATTGACATGATCATAGTAAAAACATCTTCATAATAAAAGCTCAGTCTATAGACTTCCTGAAAGAACTTCAAAATTCACTAGTGGTTCCTATACCAACTTAAGAACTACTGAATAAGGTCGATGTGGATTAAGATGTTCCTTTACTTATTCAACCTTCAATACCTTCCTCAAGACAATTAAAAATACCTAATTCTACTCTTGACTAAAGGATAGCAACCCTTGAAGATACGATGGAACATCAGCCCTGCCAAGTGATTGATAGAGGTCTCTCTTTAATTCCCAATTATTTTTTCCACCATTTCTAGGATTCTGAACACTTTTTGTGTGTGTGTGTGA